TGGCTAGAAAGTTAAAAGCTCATCAGTGATTGGCAGTTTGGTAGACTGAGTTAAATGAGCTCAGCCATTAGTCTGCAGGACAGTCTGATGCAGAGTTATGAGCTCACAAAGTTTGATCCAATGTTAAGTCAATGGGATTTTTCCGACGGTCCCGGGACGTTTTTCGGAAAACCGAAAGTCAGATCAGTTGGAAAAGATATAGCACACTTAATCAGACCAGTTTGAAGGTTTGGTGTGAGTTTGGTGGTCATAGCTCAAAAGCTCTAGAAGAAGATGCGTTTTGTTTTTTAGTCTCAGAAGAAAAATAGGATAACAGTAGTCTGCTACACAAGCCAGCCTAATAATATCAGGGGTGTCCAAACTCGGTCCTAGAGAGTCGATGTCTTAGGCTGCGTCCAAAACTGCATACTACTCAGTAGGTACTGCAGACTCGGACGTACTTCATCTGCCATTTTGTCATGGTCACGTGACCTAACTGTGTCAGTTGCGTCGCTTTACCCCCATTTATGAATTCATTCGCGGGGCATCATGGGATAGCGCAGCATGCATGGAATGCGCACTCCAGAATCTCGCCGGAAGTAGTAAGTCATCAGGGTACTTCTCGCACACAGATTTTTGAGTTCTATGAATTCAGACATACTACTCTGCTCGCATGCTGATTTTAGCGTACTTTATAGTATGGAAGTATGCGGTTTCGGACGGAGCCCTAATGTTAAGTTCCAACCTCAATCAGACACACCTGGGCTAGCTAATCAAGCTCTTACTAGGCTTTCTAGAAACACCCATTCAGGTGTGTTGAGGCAAGTTGGAGCTAAAATCTGCTGGACACCGGCCCTTCAGGACCAAGTTTGGGCACCCATGTTATAGATGTTATAAAATAGATATGATTTAAAGTGATAGTTCACCCAAAAATGACAATTCTGTCATATTTTACTCTTTCTTTACTTGTCACAAACTTTTTTTTTAAATTTCTTTCTTTTGTTGTACAAAATAGAAGATAATTTGAAGAACGCTGAAAACCTGTAACCATTGACTTCAATAGTATTAGTTTTTCCTAGTATGGAAGTCAATGGTTTCAGGTTTTCAGCGATTCAAAAAAGGGTTTTAACCACTTGAGGGTGACTAAATAGTGAGTAAATTTCATATTTGGGTGAACTATCCCATTAAAACTACTTGCAAAAGCAGTAATTATTAATATTTATATTGTACAATGATATATTAACACATTGACATGATCTTTTTGGGGGGTTTGCAGGTGGCCACGAAAGTGAAACATTTCTTTCGGATGTACTCAATCAATAGACATAAGATGACAACGGTAACACCCTCTTATCATGCTGATAGCTACGGTCCGGATGACAACCGCTTTGACCTCCGTCCTTTCCTTTACAACACGCGGTGGAGCTGGCAATTCCGCTGCATCGACAATGAGGTCAGCACTTCTACTGAACAGTGTGATCTCTATGTGATGTGGACTGTATAATAACAAGCTTTCATATTTCAACTGTACACAAAGACACATGTATACAGTAGTATTTATTACAGAGTGAAAATTTGTGCTCACTGCTCTAAAATGTATTCTTTTTTTAAATGTCTGGGTAAAAAACAACACCCCCCCCCACCTTCTTTATTTATTATAAAAATCTTTATTTTTGAAAGATTTATAATATTTTCGAGCAGTAAACATGCCAGGCTAAATAATTTAAATGAATTATTGACTTCTGCTGTCTTCATTAGTTTCTAAAACACACATTTCTTTACAATTTAAAACGGCATCTTTGGATATCTTTTCTGCTAGAGATACTGCTGTACTGAAAAAAAAATTTAAATAAAAACTTACATTAGCATTTAAGTTAATGTAAATTACATTAACATACCTTAGGAACAGTATTACAGAAAACTTTTATGGTTTCAAAACCTTGACTTTTCCAAACCACGGTATACCTTGAAAACGGTCATTGTCCCATGCCTAATATATATTTAGTGAATGTAATTTAACTATACTTTATTATTATCTTAACTGCACTCTGTAAACATGACAGGCCAAAAGTTCAGAATAATTGTGAGTGTGTGTGTGTGTGTGTGTGTATATTGGTTGTTTACAAGGCAAATTTGTATATATCTCAAAGGTATGACCTAGTTGTACCCTGTTACTAGGACATGCCTTATGTCCTCACAATTCAAAATGCACAAAAAATATATACTTAACAGAGTCTTATCACATTTTAGTTTTAAAAAGTGTTGGGTGTAGGGGTAGAGTTAGGGTAGGGCTATGTAATAAGCAGTTTTTAATCTCTAAATCACTGGTGTCAAAGCAAGTTTCTGGAGGACCGCAGCCCTGCACAGTTCAGCTCAAACCCTACTTCAACTCACTTTAAAACAAGCCTGAAGGACTCAATTTGTTTGATCATGTGTGTTTGTTTGGGTTGGAACTAAACTGCAGAGCTCCGGCCCTCCGGGAACTGGCTTTGATACCTGTGGTATAAATACAGTACATCACACCTATGGAGAGTCTTTGTTAACCACCAATATCAATGTGTGTGTGTATACTGGTTTTGGTGGCTTACGAGGCAAATTTGTATAATTACAAGGGTATGATCTAGTTGTACTCTATTAAAGTGATTTACTAATCTAGTCTACCTTATGTCCTTAAAGTATGCAAAAATACTAAATGGGCACTTATCACATTTCTTTTTTAAAAGTGTTAGGATTAGTGGTATTTGGTGGTGGTGGTGGTGGGGAGGTCATGTAATAAGTAGTTTTTACTGTATAAAATACATTACACCTATGGAGAGTCCTCAAAAACCACCAATACCATGTTTGTGTGCACATGTACACACGTTTTGGTGGTTTACATGGCAAATATGTATAATCACAATGGTATGACCTAGTTATAGTCTATTCAAGTGGTTTATAGGACATGCCTAGGGCCAGACAGAATGTGCGGACGTTCTTTGCTATTTTTGCGGAAAATTTTGGTAAAAATCTTCGGAATTATTTTGGGAGTATCATAACTAAAACCTTAATATATGAAATGAAAATTAAGACCATTTAAACTTTTATTTAATGATTAAAATGCAAATCCAATTAGATTCACTTTATTTGGTAAACAAAGCAAGTCTCTCATATAATATATCTACTAAAAGACATAATATTACTGTACAAAGAGCATGGTACATAAATCAGATGAACATTTTCATATTAGTCAATAATATTACTGTAATTAATTTAAAAACTGAATAAATATAGATTTACACAAATTTACTCAAGTAAATAAACAGAATTAACAATGGGCTAGAAATCTGCAGAATTCTGCATGCGCAGATTCCGTGTGGGCCTATACATGCCTTAAAAATCATGCTTAATGGGGTCTTATCACATTCTTCAAAGTGTTGGGTTTAGGGGTAGAGGTGGGGTAGGGCCATATAATAACAGTTTTTACTCTATAAAATATATTACACCTATATAGAGTCCTCGTAAACCACCAATAACTGTGTGTGTGTTTATGTTTTTATATGTATTAAAGTTATCAATATTACAATTTTACACAAAAAATACTGTATGAATTTAAAACAATTATTTTTTTTTTTAAATAAGTCTCCTATTTGTACCAAGTTAGCAATAATTTAATTAAAAGCACACAACAGCTGTAGCGTTTCTATTTTAGGGTATTTTAAAGCATAATTGACTGTATTCATGTAATTGAAAAGATTCATTTTTAGAAGTCATTACATTTCACTCGAAAGTCATTCAGAAACGATGCATTAAAATGATAAAAATGATCAGAAATCCATAATATACAAAAAACATTTCATTTCAGTATATACTTATATGTTCCACATAAATTGAAAATAAATTATATATATATATATATATATATATATATATATATATATATATATATATATATATATATATATATATATATATATATATATATATATATATATATATATATATATATATATATATATATATATATATATATATATATATATATATATATATATATATATATATATATATATATATATATATATATATATATATATATATATATATATATATATATATATATATATATATATATATATATATATATATATATATATATATATATATATATATATATATATATATATATATATATATATATATATATATATATATATATATATATATATATATATATATATATATATATATATAT